TGTTTAAATTTATTAAAAACTGTATAAGACAATATGTAAATTATGATCGAAATGAATGTTTATTTTACATACTTAAACTGTGTTTCAACCATCGCACAGTGATGATACAACTCATCATCGTATGACGAATCGAACAGTTGACCCCTCTCCATTTCTTCACAAACTTTAGACAACTCCTGATTTAATTCGCTATTGAATAGTTCCGTATTCTCTTCCATGATTGTGGAGAAAAACGCACTGGTGCACACTTCACTGAAGTTTTCCCTTCCTCTTTTTTATTTTTGATTCAGCTTCAAAAAAATGATCAATCGATTGCGATTTTCTTTTTCCACCATCGCATGTGTTATTATTAATGACGAGGTCATCACTCTCTTCTTGAGGGGAGAGTGGCGAGTAGTAATACTGTTTATAGGTATCTTCATCGAAGCTCAATGATTTCTGCAACAACACAGTTATCATGTTAATATCAATTTGTTAACACTTAATCATAAAAGTTAAAAAAGTTAAAGTTACAGCCTATTAAAGTCCACTGCTGAACATAGGCCTCCTCTCATTTCTGAGAGGGTTTTAGAGCAAGGAAATGTCCGCCGCGCTCCCTCAACGTGTGTTGGCCAACTTCACATGCCTTCGAAATTTTCTCAGACATGCAGGTTTCCTCACGATGTTTTCCTTCACCACCAAGCACGTGGTAATAAGCACTTAAAATTGCTATTAACAATTTAATTGGTGCTGGTGGGGATCGAACCCGGGTCGCGTACTGTGAAATTTACAGCTAGCGCTAACCATCTGAGTTACCACGGCTTAATCATATACATACACAATATTTAAATAAAATAATACACACACATGAAAATAACAGAAAAAAAGTAATTTAGTCAATAGAATAAACACTTACATCCATAGCCTTTGGTGTATTGAAGTAACACAAATGTACTATTGATAGATCCACTGTAGCCAAACGACCGTACACTAACTCGATGACTGCGTTTGTTGGTCTTATATACCACCAGTACGTAAAAATTCTAATCTAAAGTATTTCCGTAATGAGTTGATAATTACTTTATGCGTCAACCAGTTTATCTCACATTTCCGTTGCCTATCTCAACATTTCTTCGTATTGTGTTTTGTTTGGTGATCAATGACTCAAGTACGATTTGTATAACACTAAAATGCAATTTAATATTTAGAAACATATCAGTTTATCTCACATTTCCGTTGCCTATCTCAACATTTCTTCGTATTGTGTTTTGTTTGGTGATCAATGACTCAAGTACGATTTGTATATCACAAAAATGCAATTTAATATGTAGAAATCACTATAATTGACCATTCCTATGTTATTCATTGAGTAGCTAGGTACTGTAATAATCTACTAATAGCAGTAATATCATGGATACACTAGATGTACAACAACATCTGAAAAAGATTCACCCCAGTCTAGAAAATAATGTTTATGCAGCTAATAGACTGCCTATGTATACCCACGTACCAACGTATATAATATGTAATTTGGATACAGATGATAAACCAGGGTCACATTGGGTAGCTTTATATATCGATACGAATGACGTCGGTCAATATTTTGATTCATATGGACGATCACCTGTACGATATCATCTAGAGTTTTTAAAAAGGAATTGTAAAAGATGGAACTGGAATGTTGATAGGATTCAGAATGAGTGGACTTCAGTTTGTGGCGAATATTGCTTAATGTATTTGCTATATAAGTTTCAAGGATGTTCAATACATAGTTTTACGAGTATATTTACAAGGAACACATTGTACAACGATATTTTAGTGGATGAGATGTTTCGCTCCTATTTTATAGATAATAATTAATAAGATTTTGTATTTTATAAATAAAAATTGTAACAAAATTATGTAGTGTGTTTTATTGATGATTCAGATTAGCGTTGTATAAACAAAGAATTATAATACAATAGCACTGATATAGTCGACGCACACGCTGCAATGAAGGTGATTAAGGAACAATAGAACAATAGAAATAGGAACAATGGGACGCTAATGACGGTGGAGGCCCTTACCGGATATCAATTAGATATTAGCTAATTGATCTACACATCTCCGGAACCGTGCATTCTACACAAAAATGGACCGCGGATTCGTGGTTCTCAGGTGGTCTAGAAGTGGTACAACTACACTACTTACGTAGTCTCCTTTCTGAAAATGACATATCTTAGCTTTTCGTTGATTAAATCGTTGTCTATCTTGTTCCGATGCTTGAGACATTCTATTCTGCACATGTCTGGAAAGATCGTCAATATCAGTAGTTTGATTATCTATATTTACTAATCCGGTGGAACACAGTGTTTTCGTCTTGTGAGTAGAGTGAGCGGAGCAACACCTGTTACTCGATGAGCAATACAATTCATGGCCAACTGAAGTTCTTCTAATGTAGTATGCCATTGTTCCGTTTCATAATTTTTTATCATTATTAAGGCATTTTTAAGCATTGCTATTATTCGCTCAACTTGTCCGTTAGCTTGGCTGATTCCTGGTGATATATCATGGATGTCTATTCCTAGCTGTTGGCAATAAGTCTTGAATTCCCCCAAGAATTCTCTGCCTCCATCCACAATTATTTGAAGTGGTGTTCCAAATAGGTGTATAGTACGTTTTAGTGCAGCTAATGTGCTGTGCGGACTTTTATTGGTAGCATAATAAAACAGCACATATTTTGAGAAAGCATCGATAGTTACTACAACATATTGCTGATCATCTGTAGTACCGAGCTTGCCAGTGATATCCATATGCATCACTTGAAAGGCTATAGTTGGCTTTTGGATTGGATGTAGTTGAGCTTGTACAGCGCCCGATGTTCCTTTTGTTGTTCTACACACGATACAGTTGTCCACAAACCTGCGCACCAGGGTACTCATTTTGTCAAACCAGTAAGATTCTTTGATCTTATGGAGAGTCTTTTTTCATCCGGGGTGTTTAAGCGCTGAATGAAATGAATTTATTATACTCCACTGGAAAGATCTAGGAACTACAACATAGATTTGCTGTCCAAAAATTGGGTCTTTTACGATTCGTTTTAAAACTTCGTTTTCTAGAAGGTAACCATCTACTGGATTTCCGTTGTTGAAGCTGTCCATCAGGCGACGCAACGTCTCATCTCGGCGTTGTTCCACCTTCAACCAATCCAGGTCTCTCGTCATTATGTTAACCTCACAACCACTTGGATTTCTACTAAAGAAGTCGGCGTATTGCAGGCGATTTCCTTTGCGGTATTCTACTTCAAAATCATAGTTCTGTAAAAACGCCCACCACCGATGAATTCTCGGGAGGAGATCCTTTTTGTGCTTAGATGCCTTTAAGGCGTTGCAATCGGTTATAATTTTGAATTTTCGTCCATACAGATACTGTCGAAAATGTTTTATTGCACGCACTACCGCCAAGGTCTCTAGCTCGTACGAGTGATATCTGCTTTCAGTATCAGTAGTTCTCATACTCATGAAAGCGACTGCATGTTGACGTTTGTTGATTATTTGTACTAGGACGGCACCGAATCCCAAGCTACTTGTATCCGTGTATAATTCTACATACGAGTATATTGGTGCTTCTTCTTGGAATATTGTTAACACAGGAGATGATGTCAAACATTGGATTACCTTATTACGTGCTTCTTCGTGTCGATTATTCCACTCCCATTTAGCACCTTGTTTGGTCAACTCATACAAGGGTATCGTTATACGGGAAAAGTCGGGGATAAATTTCCGAAAATATCCTGCTAAACCATTGAATTGTCTTACTTTTTTAGCAGTATTCGGTACTGGTGCCTTGACTAGAGCTTCAACTTTCTTTGGACTTGGACGGATTTGACCATTTGAAACAACGTTACCCAAGTAATGAATCGATACGTCGCTTATACTTCGTTGCGCCGATATATATAATAATGTTCCAAATAACCTCAAAAATATTGACAACACCAAGTCTTTTATAAAAAAATTAAAGTCATTCTTAATCGATAAAAGTTATTATAATTTGAGTGAATTCTTTATAGATGCGAATAAATAGTAAATGTATGTGTAATAATTATAAAAAAAAATATATGTTAGACTAGTAAATGTTAAGAAATAAGATAGTTGGTATTTAGTACGTAGTAGTTAATATTTAGTATAATAAAATAATAAAACTATCCTCTTATAAATTGCTATGTCCCTACGGGGGACATATATGATGTATTTCTTGTGGCATGCAAATTATATAAATAAATAAATATAAAATAAAATGATGTGTCTTACTAGTGTAAAGAGAACTAGTTAAGACACATGATTAAAATTTTACTACGCGGATCTTAGATAATAATTAATGTTTGACATCTTTAATCTTAGTTTTGGTTAATACGGAGTAAGGGAGAATAATCATCTTTATGCAATTTTTCTACCAGTTGATTAATGCGTTTAACACAAGATCGTACTTCATGACACTGAAAATTCGGTGGATTTTTTTTATTAGGCTACCACTTTTATCACAGTCCTGTTGGTCATCTTATGCCATAAGAAAAGGTGGCATTAAAGAGTTACCTCATCCATGCCCCGGTGGTGGCAGCGTCAACGAGTTTGGGCTCCACGAACTTTCATGTAAGAAAAGTACTGGTAGGTTTTCCCGAACGATGTCTCTCGATGTCTTTGAACGATGTCATTCGAAGTGCTTTTGGGATTTAGAGACCCGACGGAATGACATTGGTCCCTTTGGAGAGAGGTAAAACCCTAGTGTAGGGTAGACACTTTGGCAGCCTCTCTTTTTAGGGGTACCTCGTTTAGAGCCGAGGCAGTATCAGCAATAAATATTTTATTTTTCGTATCCCATAGCATATTCTCATACTCATGTACTTGCGTATAGACTTGGGCACCTGTTGGTGATGTATCTTGGGTCCTGCACTGCGCAGATAATTAGTCTATGTTGAGACTGACCGCAGTGCGAAATCCAGTCTGGAGGACAGTAAAGCAAGCATGTCGCTCTTGTTCATTCAGGCTACCGCCCCACGTGACGATGGAGGAGGGTGCGCTGCTGGAGCCGCTGTCGGTGGGCATCCACGCGTGCCGGCGCGGCGGCGTGAGCGCCGGCCACAGCGTGCTCATCCTGGGCGCCGGGCCCATCGGACTCGTCACCATGCTCGTCGCGCGGGCCATGGGCGCCTGCAAAATCATCATTACTGGTAATTATATTTGAAAGTGGTTGAAAGCCTCTCATCTTGTGGCATTAACAAGTTTGAATTTGCCGTTACCGTTACATCATATTAAAGTCCACTGCTCCATAGATTGTCTAATAGGAGGGACATTTGCTATAGTGGCCACGCTTGGCAAGCGGGTTGGCAATCGTAGTTTTTATTTTCAGTCGTTATTAGGAAGACGCTGTTGCCCATCTCCTGATTTTATTTATTTATTTATTTAATCTTTCATGCACAAAATTGTACATATGGCGGACTTAATGCCATAGGGCATTCTCTCCCAGTCAACCATTAGGCTAAAGAGAGATATACAAACAAGGGGCGGTGCAGCAGTAATCAAAATAAAAAGCGCTAAAAAATATTGTATATACATATATACATATAAATATACATATACACACACATATATACTTAAATACACACAATATATGAGTCGATTTAAAACCGGTGGCAGAAAATGTGATTGTAAATTTAGAAAACCAAAGAAAATAAAACTCTGTTTAACTTAGTTGTATAGGTATTTATGCTATGTAGATATCATGGTTAAATGCAATATTGTGGTTGGGCGCGATGTCTTGCCACTATTTTCAGATTTTCAAGTAATTTACTAGTGCAGGGTAAAAAAAATTACAACTCTGTTACCATCACATATTTATTCATAGTACAAATAATTATTTTTAGAAATATTCTTTGTTATGAGCATTAATTAAGTCTTTACTCTCATGTTCAACATGCAAAATTATAATAGTTCTTCTTAAGTAGAAACAGTAATTAAAGTTAAATATACTCTGTTACTGCTTTTGTTTTAATAATAAAATTTTCACTATAAACTATATAAATTGAATTAAATTATTAAAATATAACAATGATATTGTGTATAAATGAGAATATTAAATAATTAATAAACAATGTATAGATTCAGGTGTCAGCTTTTCATAAAATTCGAGACATTACTCTTATATATTTAGGGACACAAAAGTAACAAAGTTGTAGGAACAATGACGTAGTTGTACTATTCGCAACAAATTTATGAACTACTATCGCAAAAAACAATATTTTTGGCTACGAAATGTTTTAACAAGTTTAGGAACTTAACTAGATTATAAAACTTAAGGGGAAAAAAGCTAAAAACTCTTATTGAGATCAAGTTAAACCTAAGCTGATAACTTATTTTTCAAATATCTGTGTGTGTATAGTGGAGTAGGGAACTGGTAAAATACTCTTTATTTACTTTTTTTAGGTTCTGAAACAACTCTTATTAAACTCACATATTGTTCATATGATACATCATTTTAATCTAATTTGTATGTTTTTCCAGTATCGTCAACAGACTTTAAAAAGACAATTTTTACTTCGCCATTATCGTCTACTTCCCTTACTGCTTTGCCGAGATAAACATACTTTTAGATCTGCAAACTTTAACTAAGACGTAGACCCCTTCTTTAATTTTACTTAGAGAATAATTTCTTTATGTGTGATTCTCATCATTTTTTTTTTCTTTAGACAAGCCGGGTTGATCTGATGCCTTATCTTTTAATCAAAGGATCATCATCACCGGATTCCGAACTCGAACTGTAAATTACATTGTAAAAAGATTTCCTTTTCTGTTCAATCAAATTACTTATATCCGCTAGAGTAGTAGAATTACTGTCCTTTGATTCTTCGACTGTATCCTTTAGTGGATAATAGTTTTTTGGATTCATACAAGAGAAGAGTTAGAACATTTAATTATAATATCCTTTTTTTTTCTGAATTGCAACAGCAAATTAGATTTTTTTATATTGATCTCTGGTCTCGAGCGAATAAAGTGCTGTCAAATAATCAGTTCGTTTTATTTATCATAATCAAAATCAAAAATACGTTTTATTTTTATTTTTGCTAATTAAGTTCTCAAATACACAATTCCCAGATATCCACCAACCTCGGCTGGACTTTGCAAAGCAGTTTGGTGTCGACCACGCGATCCTTGTAAAACGCGATGCCAACGAAGCTGACATGGCAGTGAAGATCCACGAGCTGCTAGGAAACTATCCCGACGTCTCCATTGATGCGAGTGGTGCCCAAGCCACCGTTAGATTGGCCTTGCTGGTGAGTTTTTTTTTCAACATTGTTACATTTACAATGTAGGTCGTTCTGCAGCCGTCATCACTATAATAGAATAATAGCAAGAACATATGGATTGAAACTACGGATTTTACCGTGTTTAATTTTACCTTTTTTAATTCCCGACGTTTTAGCAACTAATAAAGTCAAAATAAAAATAATAAATAAAAATAAAAATGTTTATTTCAATTACATAATGCTTCAACATTATTTGAAGATCACCTTTTAAGCAAGGATATGCTTGTGTTAGGTGACTCCGTTCTTCCTCTTAAAATTATTTTTGCAATTGAAAACAAAATAAAAGAAAAGAAAGTACAAAATACAAAAAGGATAAGGAGTGCACTTGAGTGATGTATGCGAGTGGGTTTTTGAATAAAACTAAATTAAACGCAATAAAATCCGTAAAATTAGTTTTATGTAACGTGAAGTATTCGCGTAAACATTCCTTGCATTATTAAGCAAGACCACAGGTTTTTCACCTATGTTCGCTATTGAGGGTTTGCTGATAAAATCAGTTATCTGTCAATTTTGTCATATTGTGAAAAGTGGTTCCAAAACGACTTCTTATATTTACGCGAACACTACATATCAAATAAAACTAATTTTACGGATTTTATCGCTTCCAGAAGTTTGAAAATTTATAACTAATTACAGATATATCGTGCACCGTTGATAATAATGTTTAATGATAATTGGATTATATAGGTAACCATTTTGATTTACTAACTCATGATGATCATCATAACAGTTCTTCACAAGTCCACTGCTGAACATGGGCCTCCCCCAGGATATGCCATAGAGCACGGTCACACATCTACTTTCTGCATTTCTTACCAGGTACAGAAAAATAAATAAATAGTAAATCAACATAAATCAACAAAATTATAATATGGAAATAAATTTATACTTTGAATCATTTAATATAGGTAATAATTTCTTAATTTGATTGTTTATCCTTTATGGCTTTAGTGGTGAAAATTTGACATAACTGCAAAATGATTAAATGTAGTTAGATCAACATTCTCACAATATTACTACTACATACACATATACAAAAGTATAATTAATATAAATAATTAGTTAATACATCTTATCTATGAACTTAATATATATATATATTTTAAAATTGAATTCTTAACGCACGTTCGAAGCGCATAGCACCGTAGCAAGGTCACACCGCCCCCCGCCTGCTCGCATTCCATTCGGGCGGTGTCGAACGGGACACGGGAACGAGATTCATTGTAAAAATCTGCCGATCGTAACGGACGTTTTTTTTTTTTGCTGTAAGTCGACTCGAGCTATCGTACCTCGGATTGTGTCGTTTTTTGTTAGCAAATTCGTGCAACGACGAGGAACTGTCTAGTAATAGCCTAGGATATTACACGCCGGGTTGGCTAATAGTTGTGAAGTTAATGTAATTGCACCGTTTCGTTAAGTGCCTCAAGGGGTCGCGTCCGGTGTTCGAAGTAATTTGCCGCGGAGCGATCGTAGGTGAACTTTGTACCACTGTCGTCGGTCGCGCCACGTGTTGGGTCTTTGACTGTGATTAACGGAATTTAGTTCTCTCTTTGAAGTTAGTTAAATGTACAATAATGTGGATAGACTGACCTAGTGCCTTGAAGAAAGAAATTGCCACCGGGGACGTCGCAGGAGAATACCACCTCCGAGGCAGCATCGTGCCATCTGGTTCAGGCCACCTAAACACACATACTCACAAACACCACTTACATGCACTACACCTTCAGCCTGACAGATCCTGGTGACCAGTCTCCGCTTCTGAAGCAGGTACGTACTATTCGTTATTTAGGATTATCTATTGTGTAGGTCATTTGAAAATAAGGCATCGGCCACACACTTGGTCGTCCGTCGAATCTCCCGCTTATGGGCCCCGAGAGAATCGACCTTGGGTTGGACGGCTAGGTGCGTGTACAATTCTGGTAGCAAGAGCGCGGCTGATTGATTTCCAATCACACCCGGCCGTAATATTAATAAAAAAATAAAAAATAGTGGGTAATAAATACGGACGTACGTAATATAATACGTACGTAATACGTAGTACGTACGTAATATTTTTTGTTTGTAGGCGGGTGGAAGAAGCAACTACGACCGTATCTTGTTAAGGCTAGGTACTTACCGTAGTTTTTTTAAGGCCAGGTACTTTGACTAGGTAGATAAGGCTATCACACGTAATCGGATAATTATCGTTGGCGTATAATTATAGTAGATTAATTGTCGAAGGGTCGGTTGTTTGAGCGAGGCATTTTGCTGATTGACTGTGGTACCTTTAATTGTAGTGTAACTTGTATTTAATTTAATAAATAGTAATTTGTATTTAACTTAATTTGATCGTACTAGTGTTTTTTATTTGTTAATTTGATTTGTGTTTTTTTTGTGTATTGGTTTGTATTTAGTAGTGATGCCGTCGCAAAAGCCACCGGCGCTTCGCCTGCAGGCAGAGCTGCGCTGGGCCGCGAATGCCCATATTTTGATAGGGCGACCCGATCGGGTCCATAGTTTAGGGAAGCGGCTCGAGCAGGTCGAGGCCCGAAGGGCCGTAGTGGAGGAGGCTTACACAGATCTCGTGGCCTCGGATGCGGAACAGGGAGTCCTAGACTCCTGCCTCGCGGACTACGAGAAATTATTTTCGCTCACGGACGACTTGATCGAGGAGAGGGCCAAGTATGCTAATGAAGCGCGTGAAGCTAGGCTGAGGGGCCTGCCCGAGTCTCCTCGAAAACAGCCTATTCAGCTGGAGCTGTTAGGACGACTCCCAACTCTGGACCTGCCAAGGTTCTCCGGGGTCCTCTCTGAATGGCTGACCTTTGTCGGTCTGTTTGACAGCCTAGTGGACGCCCGGAGGGACTTGACACCAAGCCAGAAGATGGGGTACCTCCTGGCATCATTGGAGGGGGAGGCCCTGGGCGTCGTCGGCCATTTGAAATTGTCGGACGATGCCTACCAGAATGCTCGGGACCTCCTCGCCGGAAGGTACGCCAACGTCCGCCGGATTGCGGACGACTAGTTCGGAAGTTCGGAAGCTGCTAAACCTCCCGCTGCTTAAGGATCGGACCAGACTACGTACGGACATCGTATATCCAGTCGTGGTGGCTTGCAACTCATTGAGGCGGCTGGATTTACCGGTGGACGAATGGTCTTTTTTATTGCTCTACATTGTGCTGTCTCGCCTGTCTCTCGACCTTTGGCTCCACTTCGAGGAGAGGTACGGCGGGGACGGCGCCTCCTATATTCCCCCCTTCAGGGACCTGCTGCAGGCAAATAGCGCAGGCAGATGAAGAACGCAGTAGGCGCCGTCGAGGAACCCCAGGTTGTATCACGAGCGGTGCCCAGGGAGAGGCGGAATCCGATGGCCAAGGCGTCGCCAACCCCCCTGAGGCCGAGCGGAGCTCCCGCGGGAGGGCGCCACCCCCTACCTTCTTATAGTGGCCTAGCGGCCAGGGAGGCGCTCCCCTGCTAATATTGTCGAGCATCCGATCACCGGGCGACGTCGTGCCCTAAGTTGCTGTGCAAGCCGGCCCCGGCGAGGCGAAACATCGCCACGGAGCGCCGCTGGTGCTACTCGTGCCTGTGCATCTCCAACGAGACAGCCCACACCAGCGGCCCTGCACGCACTGCCAGGGCAACCACCACGCGATTTTGTGCCTGGGCGCGATCGGCGCTTCCTCTCGAGGCCCTGCCAGGCCCCCCGACCCCCATGGGCTGGGGCGCTCAGTCATGCCCTCTGTCGGGCGACTCTCGGCGCTCGCCTGCCGACCACCGTGCCCCTGGGGTTGAAAGAGGTCCCTCCCCCGACCAGTCGGAGGGTCGCTCTCCCAGGGGCGAGGGGGTCATCACTCCCCGTCAGCGTGTTGAGAGGGGCTTCGCGGCTACTCAGCGGTCAGCTAGAACCGCCTCACCCCCGTTAGCTGAGCGGCCGCGACTGGAGTGCCACCCACCTCCCTTTGGTCGATACCGGTACTACCAGGTTCCTGCGACCTCAAGACTGTCCCGGGCCCCAAGGCCAAGGTTCCCCGAATTTCCCCAGGTCGGCCCGTTTGGTGAGTGGCAACCACGGGTCGTTGAGATGCCGCTGGAATGCCGCTTTCCAGACCCCCGGTTCGAGGGCCGGTCAGATGGAGGCAGCTCCAGCTAGGTAGCTGCCGCCCTAGCTCCCACCACGGCCGCCTCCACTGAGCCTTTGAGCCGTCAGCAGTCCACCTGTCAAGCTGTTCTATTGCCGACGGCCTCATCAGTGAAGGTGTACAACCCGAGAGGCGACTGCTTAAGGGTTCGCGCTCTACTGGATTCGGGTTCACAACGCAGTGTAGCCTCCACTTGGTTGGTGGGAAGACTAGGAATATCGGACTATCACGTCCGATGGTAGGTAACGGAGGTGACGAGCCTCCTGCTCCTAGGGGACAAGCAGAGTTGGTGTTCGGCCCCGCCAGCGAACACCTTCACATTTTAGTCAAGGTAAATGTCCTCGATGACATTGTAGGTTTTCTCCCTAACGTCCGTATAAATGACAGCGCGGTTCGTTGTGCGTCGGGTTTGAGATCGGCAGACCCTCAATGGTCCTAACCTGGGCCTATAGATTTGTTGCTGGGGGCCGACGCGCTGGAGTTCATCTTGTTAGGCGAGATACGAGACCTACAGCCCTATGGCTTGTCAGCCATGTCCACTGTATTTGGGCACAGCTTCTTTGGACCGGTTCTGTGGTCTCCACCTCCTCAGACGGCCGACACGCTCTCTGTTGTGGGCGTGTCCCTTTCGGAAGTCGTCCAGAGGTTCTCAGAAATTGAGGAGCCACCACACGTGGCTCGAGTCAACGCTCCGGACCGTGAGTGCGAGTTGTTCTACCAGAACAATACCGGCCGTCGCGTCGACGGTCGTTTCGTCACTCGCTTTCCCTTTCTGGACTAATGGCTCCCTTTGGGCCAATCTCGTGCACTGGCCGTGAAGAGGTTGCTTTCCATGGAGCGCCGCAT